TTCCAGTGTTCAGCACAATTTTTCAGTCATTCATGGACATATACACACTCATTGTCACATTTTTTTCTAGTGAATCCTTGTTGTGTATCTATTTTATATATATACTAGTGTGTATCTGTTAATCCCATACTCTTAATTTATTCTCCACCATCCCTTGAAATAGTTCTTAAAATGTACCTGTATGAGTTTCCTAGGCTTCCATAACACATTACCACAACTTGGTGGGTTAAAATAACAGAAATTTATGACAATCTTTTAATATGAATTCATAATTTCAATGTGTTAGTTATTTGACCTTTTCCATTTTTCTTTTATAGCTTATACGACTTGATAGTCTCAGTGCCTACTGGAATGTTAACTGCAGAATGTCTTACCAGGGATCAAGGGAACAGATCTTGGTAATTTCAGTTTATACCTGGAAAAGCTAACTGTATTCCCTAAATTTGTTTTACATAAGAGGTCCTTAATGAGGACAGATCAGTCTTTTGTTTAAGTTATATGTAACTAAATGAGAAATGGGCAGCATAGTTTTTGGAATTCATGCTGTCTTTAAAAAAGCACTTTTGCTTTTGAAGATTTTTGTGAAATCTTTCACCAGACAGTGAGATGAGAACCTATACTGTTAAATTAAAACTGTTTATGGTTTTTTACACTCTCGTTTTGATGCCATTCAGCTTCATTGTGGAGTTTCATATGAGAATGATTACTTGAAGAGTATGGTAAAGAAAGATGATACCTTTCAGATCTAAAAAATGCTTTCTTACTAAATGTTCTAAGCATTTGTGATGATGCATTCTCGAGTAGTGAACAATTAATTAAAAACTAAGTGTGCTAAGCCAGTTTTAGTCATGTTTATTACTTAGAGGAAAAAGGAAGAACAGTTGAATTTTCTGAACTGAATTAATTCAAAGATTCTTTTACTTCTCAGAAAGATACTGTAAGAAATAATGTGCCATTGTCTAGAAAATATTTGAGATCCTAATTCATGGATGTGTACACACACGCACATACATACACATACACATACCTTAAGTGAGAGGGGAACACAGTATTATAGTGTTGTTTCTAGGTATTTAGAATTTATAAAAATTATCTACTATATTTATTCTAAAGACATATTTGTAAATAATGCTCTGTGTGTTTCTTACAGACTACTAATTATGAAGATGGGAATAAATATACTGATTTAAGAACCAAATTTTTTTTGTTTGTGTTGCTGAATTTGTGTGCATTTTCTTTCTCATTCGCATGTAATTCAAATTTTTTATTTAGGATCAGCTGAAAAGTGAAATTCTTAAGAGTAGCAGTATACCCCCATCCCATCAATACAGTAAGTAGTGATCAATCTTATTTCATGTTATAGGAAGCATGGAATTAAATAGTTTATTATAATATACTTTTTCAGATAAACTTACTTTGGCAAGGAGAAAGTATTAATTTTATAACTTAGTTTTATGATACAGCATATTGGGCTATTACACAGAATTTAGAAATAGATTATAACTCATACACTCCTGGAGAGTAAGAGAGAGAAGGGCAGTATGGCTGTAGTTCATTTCCAACAGCTAAGCCCCTTGACCTCCATGTTTTCTTCTTACCTTGTTATTTACTTTGTTTTAGAAATTAGATTTTTTTTTGCTTAAGAACTAAATCTCTGAGATCTTGGTATTCAGGTCACTGTGAGCATGTTATGTTGCAGTATTGAGACAAATTGACCACTCTAAGCATTTTTTTTTTAAAGAAGTATAGTTGATTTACAGTATTATGTTAGTTTCAGGTGTGCAGCAGAGTGATTCTGTGTTTTTACTGATTATACTGTGATACTTTACTATAAGTTACTGGGTATAATTCCCTCTGCTGTACGTAAATCCTTCTTGCTTGTCTATTTTATGTATAGCAGTTTGGGCCTCTTCACCTCATACCCCTCATTTGTCCCTCTGTCCCTCCTCTCCCCTTTGGTAACCGCAAGTTTGTTTTCTGTATCTGTGAGTCTGTTTTTGTTTTATATATACATTCATTTGTATTTTTTTTATATTTCACATGTAAGTGATACCGTATAATACTTGTCTTTCTCTGTTTAACTTCACTTAGTGTGATACAGTCTAGGTCCATCCATGGTGCTGCAAATGACGGTTTTCCATTGTTTTTCAGGCTGGGTCATAATCCATTATATATGCACACCCCACCTTCTTAATCCAGTTGTCTGTTGATGGGCTCTTGGGTTGCTTCCAAGTCTTGGCTATTATAAATAGTACTTCTGCGAACATTGGGGTGCATGTATCTTTTTGAATTAGTGTTTTCATTTTTTCAGAATTTGTACCCAGGAGTGGAATTGCTGGATCACATGGTAGTTCTATTTTTGTTTTTTTGAGGAGTCTCCATACTGTTTTCCATACTGGCTGTACCAATTTACGTTTCCCACCAGCAGTGCCCAAAGTTTGCCTTTTCTCCACATCCTCCCCAGCATTTCTTATTTGTAGATTTTTGTTGATAGCCATTCTGACAGGTATGAGGGGCTTTCTCATTGCTGTTTTGATTTGAATTTCTCCAGAGATCTTCTCTTTAAAGTGAGCCTTTCTATTTCTTGGCAGCCTCACCTTTATTTATTTTAAAATAGATCTCTAACAAAGTTGCCTGCATATTTATTTCTTTATCTCATTTTTTCTATTTCATTTTCGTTCTAAAGATGCGATCCTTTTGCTTTAATGTAGCTCTTTAGGTTTGTTCGCAGCTTTCATGCCCATGTTCTTCCATTGCTACTCTGGTTCACTGTTTTCTTTTTATTCTTTCATAGCTAATGGCCATTATGTGAGATTGGCACTTGCTCTTTATGTCCACAGACCTCTATGTGACAAAGCTTTCAGAGGCTGCTGGTTTAGAGCATTTAGTTTCATTCATGAAAGAACTTGTTCAGAAAAGTATATGACTTTATTCTTAGGCATATTCAGTATAAGTAACCTCTAAATAAGTTAAAACTTTTTATACAATCTTACGCAAGTTGTAAATACTGTAAGGTATCACAATTTATATAATTTTAATACTATTCACAATTAAAATTTATTACATTACTTTACTCTGTCATCTTCCCTAATACACTTTTTCATACTACTTTTCAACTTTAAGAATATTGTCTTCAGTTGAGTCTAAGATTATACATGTAATGATCATTGAAAATTGCAAAGTAGTAGGCAATTTTTTTAATGGGTAATATGAATTTCATTCATGATTCTGTTCCTAAATTCTGACAGTGATTAAATAAGACAGAAATTAAATTTTGTTTCCTACCTTGCATTAGCATTTTTCATGAATAATAAAATCAGTAATGTCTTGTAGCAAGGAAGAGAAGCATTAATTTTACACAGACTGAGAATAATCAAGATTAGATTGTCTGTATTTTGTACATTTCATACTTAGAAGCATAGAACACCAATTTACTCCTTGGAGATTCCACTTTTACCATTGAGTTTGACAGTTAGTATTATGCAGATAAATAGATGCTTAAATAGTTTTGGGTAGTGTTTTTGTTAACATTTTTTGACGTGTTTTTGATCATTTTTCTTTACCTTCAGAGTAACAGTGTTCTCGTAATTATTTACAGTTGTTCATATGTAAGGGCATATAAACGTATCTTATGTCTTCCCATGTGGTATAAGTTTTCCAGCCAATATCAGCCTCTGCAAAACTCTACATGAATCCTTACGCAGAAACAGAGCTCAGAACACCTAAACTCGATTGGAACATAGAAGTACAAAATATCGCCATTGAACTGACCAAACCTCAGGTAAGATTCATTTGGACGTTCATAGCTTTGATTAGCCTTGAATCTCAACAGCTTTTGTCCCATGTGATTATTCCTTCTCCAGTGCTTTGGTGGTTCTTTTGGTTTGTTGTGTTGAGATTCGACTCCTAAAAATAGATACATATGTGATTTTGAAAGAAAATAAATACCAAGTTTAAGAAATAGTTTTCCTTCATTTTATCTGATATTTGCATTGTTGGTGGAAAATCTAATCAGATTATAGTGAATGACATGATTCCCATTTAATTCCCGTTTGTTGATGGAGGATTTTAATAGTTTTTTTCTTCCTCAAATTTTATGTTGAATATTGTTCACTTAAATTTTAGAACAACTATCTATGTTGGCAGCTTTTTTTCCTTCATTTGTTTCTCAAGTTTGGTTATATGTGTGAGGAGTTTGGATAACACATCTGGAGAACTGGAAGTGAAAGCCAGATGGGGGATTTAGCGAATTAAGCTTTTAGCCCCCTGAAGTCCAATACAAATGTAATGCAAATCATATATGTAGTTTTAAATTTTCTAGTAGCCATAGTAATAAAGTAAAAAGAAAAATGGAAATTGTTAAAATTAATAACATTTAAAATATCCAAAACATTATCATTTCAGCATACAATTAAAATTAAAAATTGTTAAGATATTTTATATCTTTTTATTTTTCCTTACATCTAAAAAATCTGGGGTATATTTAATACTTACAGATACATTTAAGATAAGACTCTCCACCGTATTTCAAGTACTGAGCAACCACACAGTAACTCTTATGTAGAACTGTGTTAAGAAAAATGGAGAGGAAGAGGCTAGACTTCCCCTTTCTTTATCTTACCTGTAGTCGTGTGTGTGTTTCCCTCCATTTGAGTTGTTTACTCTTAGATACACTCAGGCTTGTTGTATATATGATAAGATGGGTGATTAAATAGCTTCATCTTGCTATAGTTATGCAATAATTTTCTGGAGCTGAATAATTTTCAGCTCTTAGAGATAGCCACAGCTTGAAATGATGGTCCAGAGGAAAATACGTAGTTTTAGAAATAAGCATTTTCCATGTCAGTAGTTAACAGATATTTCATTGGTTCTAAGATGTGCATTTATTTTACATGTTAACATATTTGAAAATAGAATGTATATTATTATTGGTGATATGACAGTTTAATTGATAACACTGTTTTCTTTTGAGGTAGAACTTAAAAATTATCTTACAGCTTATAATTGGTGGTGTCTTAAATTTGCTAAAATATATGGTAGAATTACCAGGGAATTTGAAGTATGACTAGACTGAAAATATAATGAAATTTGGTGCTTATTCATGTGTGCAATGTAATATATGTAACTTGGTTTTTGTTTTAATAGTACTTAAGTATGATTGACCTGTTGGAGTCAGTGGATTATATGGTTAGAAATGCTCCTTACAGAAAATATAAGCCTTACTTACCACTTCATACCAATAGTCGAAAATGGTAAGTTGGAATTTTTAAAAGATGATTTGTGAGAACCATGTAATCATATAGTTAGGGACTCTCAGAGCTAAGAGGCCTTTAAAACCATGTAATGAAGCTACTTTTTTTTACAGACATGAAAAGGGTATCTCTTATATTATGTCCTTGTTACTTTTTTCATAAACACATTCTCTTGTACTCTTGCTCCTAGATTATTCCCAAATTCTTAACTTAGCATTCAGACTTTCAGTACTTTCTAATCTTATTGCCCTTTGTTCATGCACATGGACTCAATGTTATAACCATACTGGGATACTATTAATTTCACACAGTATGTCATTTTGTATCTTTATGATTTTGCTTTGGCATACCCTCTTCTGGAGTCGTTTGCCATTTCATAATCTGTTTAAGTCAGTGAATTGTACTGGGAAATTGAAATATTATTACTGAGCTTTTGTAGGAATATAGTTAATAAGAACAAAAGCAATGTAGATGTAAAATGTCAAAGCAGTTTTCTTGCTTTTTCTTAAACATTTACATTCAAATGTGCACTAACAAAATTTGATTTGCAGGTGGAAATATGCAATTGATTCTGTTCTTGAAGTTCATATAAGACGATATACACAAATGTGGTCATGGAGTAACATAAAAAAGCACAGGCAATTGCTCAAGAGTTACAAAAATGCCTACAAAAATAAGCTAACCCAATCTAAAGTCCCAGAAGAAATACAGAAACAAATTCAGGTATACCTTGCATATATTGATGAAAACTGTTATTTGTTAAATCATCCTTTAATGTTAATTCTTCTAAATTTAATTTAAATTAAAATATAATTTTAGAACAACACTGAGCTCTTTGTGAGAGAATTTTATAGAAAATGCAGAATATTTTTTCCCATTTTTTTCCTCTTTATAAAAGCCTTTTCCTCCCATTCTAATGTTGGATAAAATAAGGTAACTATAAGCTATTTGGAAAAATGTATTTGGTTTTTATAATAAATGTTATAACATAACATTTATATATAATATAATAATGTTTAGAAAATCAGTATCAGAGCTGTTCAGATATGTTTATTATTAGCTGAATGTGTATTGTTGGTTTTGTTAAGTTACTTTTTAAGAGTTCACAGTATTGTTTGTAAAAAATAGCTCTTATTCCTCAGGATAGGAGTCTTATTTACCCCTCTTATGAACTAAAGAAAAACACTACACTGAATATGTAATTTGCTTAATATCATTTGATCTTGATTAAATAACTATTTTTGCCACAAATTCATAATGTAAAGAATTATTTGATTTCCTATCATTCTGAAATATGTGACTGTCACTAGGATTATGTATTAGAGGTTACTAAGCATCTCAGGTTTGATGTTCTCATGTGTAAAAAGGAAACAGTATCTGTCTTACAGAGTTGTGAGAATTACTTGAAATAACACATAGAGCTCGTGGGGCACAGGTCACCCAGTACATTTTTGCTTTAGTCTACTTGATTTGGAGAATTTTACTTTCTTGAATTTTGTGTTTTGTCGTGGTGCCTATAGTGCAGTGATTGTAGTATAACATGTAATAGAGGGCATCAGAAGTACCAATCATAAAGGTAACACGTATAACAGGCTTCCCTCCCAAATATTATTGTTTCTATTTGTGTATATGGCTATCGGTATATTACAGTGGTCTCATTAAAATTCTGCTTTTTGCATTGTATTGAACAAAGATTTACTTTCTCAGAAAATTATTTCTCACATTGCAAAAGTTAAAAATGTAAAAACCAAGTGTACAAATTTATACTTATATTTTCATTAGATCACAAATACTATTTGTTCATGGATTAGAATAAGCCTAGAAATCAGAATTAAAAAATTTTTAACTATTGACTGTTTTCCTTGTTTATAAGTATCTCTTTGTTTTATAGGATTTGGAGAAGTCTCTGGATGTTTTTAACATAATTTTAGCAAGGCAACAAGCACAAGTTGAGGTAATCATTTTTATTAGCTGATTTTATGTTTAAAACATGTTTCTGCTACTCCTTTAAACCTGGGATTAAGAAATCTAAGCTTCTTCGGAAGTTGTTGAAATTTACTCAAGTGAGAATAAAGGTTGAATTTTCATGTATTTAGTCTCAAGAGAAAAAAGATTGGAATATTGGGGAAAAGCCCACTAATATGAATGGGGAAATTTTTTTAATTTTTTAACAAAAAAATGATAACCCCCCCAAAAGAAAAGTCATCCATAATCCTAGCAACATGGAATGCTACTGTTAACATTTTGAAATACAGACTTCCAGTTTTTCTTCCATGCATGTATACCTGCTTGTTTAAGCTTTGTATCCCCTATTTCTTTCTCTTTTATCTCCTGTCCCTCCCTCCCTTCCGCTTTTCACGCATCTTTTTTCTCCCTCCCTCCCCACTTCTCTCTCTCTCTTCTTCTCTTTCTCCCCTTCTTCTTTTCTTTTTTCCAAAATTGGACTCAGTCTGTTTATAATGTTTCATAATTGCTGATTTATCCTACTTGGTACCTGTCCTCATTGTTTCATGTCATTTCTACCATTCTGTAACATGACTTCTTTGGTAATTAAAAAATAAATTGCATACCACATCTTCTTTATCTATTCATCTGTTGATGGACATTTAGGTTGCTTCCATGTCCTGGCTATTGTAAATAGTGCTGTTATGAACATTGGGGTGCATGTATCTTTTTGAATTAGAGTTTTCTCTGGATATATATCCAAGAATGGGATTGCTGGATCATATGGTAACTCTATATTTAGTTTTTTATGAAACTGAAAAAAAACTTTTTTTGTGGTATATGTACACACACACACACACACACACACACACACATACACACACTGGAATATTAGTCAGCCATAAAGAAGAATGAAATAGTGCCATATGCAGCAACATGGATGATCCTAGAGATTATCATATTAAATGAAATCAGTCAGACAGAGAAAGACAAATATCATATGATATTACTTATATGTGAACCATTAAAAATGATACAAATGAATTTGTTTACAAACTAGAAATAGACTCACAGATGTTGAAAACAAACTATGGTACCAAAGGGTAAAGTGGGGGTGGGATAAATTGGGAATTTGGGATTAACAGATACAAACTACTATATATAAAATAGATAAACAATGAGGCTGTACTGTACAGCACCTGGAACTATATTCAATATCTTGTAATAACCTATAATGAAAAAGAATCTGGAAAAGAATACATATATATAAATATAATGACTTAATTCTTTGCTGTACACCTGAAACTAACACAACATTGTAAATCAACTATATGTCAATAAAAACAAATTAAAAAAATAAACTACAAGTCCAGTAAACTCATTATAGTAAAGTTAGAAAATATAGATCCACAAAAAAAGAAAATAGAAGCACCTGTTGTTTTACACACTAAAGATAACTTCTGTTAATACCATTCTGCATATTCTTTTAGTCTTTCTTATATTCAGAAGTCTTTATAAACATACTCATATTTTTAGATGGGATTAAAGCATATGCACTTGTTCATTCATTTACTTAGCAAATGCTCATTGAGTGCCTATTACTAGCATTACAGCTAAGCATATGGACTTGAGAGTCAGGTGGTGTGGATTCTAATTTCCAGGTCTGCCATCTGCTGCTTGGGTGACCTTGGGCTGACAAATATTTAACTTGACTCAGTTTCCTTATTTACAAAGTAGGATTAATTCATAGTACCTACATCATAGTGTTACTGTGAAGAGTGTATGATACACCATGTAAACCACTTAAACTGTTACATGCCTGGCATATAGTAATTACTAAACAAGTGATTTTTTTTTGCTTCATCATCATCATCATTAGCATACAGAAATGAACAAAACAGACAAAGCCCCCTTACATTCTAGTAGGAAGAAGGATAATAAACAAAAACATAAATACAAACACAGTAGAAGGAAATGTAGAGAGTATGGAGCTAGGCAGTGATGCTGATGGGGGTTCCGATTTCAGATAGAGTAGACAGGGAAAGCCTCACTGAGAAGGATGCGTTTCAGCAAAGAGCTGAAGAAGGTGAGGGAGTCAGATACCTGAGGGAAGAGTGCGCCAGACAGAAATAACACAGCAAGCTGAAAGGTTTTGGAGTAGAGCATGTCTGACTCATTCAGTGAGCTGATTAAGTAGAGTAGGGAGAGAGGGGGAGAGTAGTGGTTAATGAGGTCAGAGAAGTAAGGTAGCGGAGGAGTGGGACGGGTGTTTTGGGAGTTGGGGAGGATGCCAGATTTTGTAGGGTCTTATAAGCAATCATGTGGATTTTGGCTTTTATTCTGATTTAAGGAGTCTTTTTGAGAACAGAATGATATAATCCAACTTAGGTTTTCGGTTTACTCTGGCTGTTATTTTGAAAGCACTATAGAGGACAGCAAGGGTGAAAACAGGGAGAGACCAGTTAGAATGCTGTTGAAATATTTGAAGTGAGAGATAATGGTAGCTTGGCTGAGAATGGTTACAGTGGAGGTGATGAGAAAGGGTCAAATTTTGGATAGATCTTTAGGGTAGAGCCAGTATTTCCTGTCTTACTAGATATGGGTTCCAAGAGAAGTTGAAAGTGACTCTAGGAATTTTTGGCTTGGAGCAATTGGGAAGGATGGAGTTGCCATGAGATGAGATAGAGAAGACCTGCTGGGACATGCTTGGATGAGATGAGAGAAGATCAGGAGTTCATTTTGGGACTGATAGTTTTAGCTGTCTTTTAAACATTAACATGGAGATACGCAGTATGTAGTTGGATACATGCATGTGGAGTTTCGAAGAGAAGTCTGTACTGGATGTATAAATTTAGAAGGGTTCAGCACATAGGTGGTATTTAAAGCCATGGTGTTGGATGAGACCACCTAAGAAGTAGCTAGAGAAGAGGATTCCAAAAACTCAAAGCATTCTATTGTTCATAGGTCAGAGAGGTGAGAACCAGCAGTGGTGACCATGGGGGAGTGCCAGAGATGTAGGTAGAAGGCTCTGTGAATGTAGTACATAACCTCAGAGTCAGAAGAGAAAGAATTTCCAGAAGCAGGGAGTAGTCACCTACTGCAGATGCATCTGACTGGTCAACTGAACTGAGGACTGAGAATTAACCTTTAGATTTACCAAATATTGGATGTTTCAGCCATTATTTCTTCAAATAATTTTTAGTCCCTGTTTTTCTCTTCTTTCCTTCTTGGTCTCCATTTTTAAAATACACACACACACACACACACACACACAAATATGTCCATATATCCATATATTTGACCTTTTGGTATTATACCACAGGTCCCTGAGGCTTTGTTCATTTTTTTTCATTAATCTTCTTTTTATCTCTGTTCTTCTGATTGGATAACTTCTCGATCTGCTTTCAGGTTTACTCTTTCCTCTGTTACCTACATTTTCTCCATTTTATTGTTGAGCCCATCCACAATTTTTTTATTTTGGATACTGTGTTTTTTAGGTCTAAAATTCCTATTGAGTTCCCTTTTATAGTTTCCATTTCTCTGCTGAAACTTTTGATCTGTTAGTAATTTCAGGTGTATTTCCCTTATTTCATTTAACATGGGTCGAGTGAGCTCTGATAGTTTCAGTGTCTAGTTTCTCTGGCCACTGGCATCTATTGATTATCTTTTCTCTAGAGAAACAGTCACATTTTCCTCCTTCTTTGTTTTGTTTATGCATCTCAAGTAATTTTGGATTGTATCCTAGACATTGTGAATATTATGTTATGTAGTCTTTGGGTCCTGTTATCCTCTGGAAAATGTTTGATATTTTGTCTTAGCGTACAACCTTGATCTTAAGTTGTGTTTTACCTTCTGCGGATAATAGTTCAGTTCTTCCACCTTTGGTATGTTGGTTTGGGTCTACTTTGCACATGATTAGGACAGGAGTTTGAGAATTGTGCAAATGATTTATTACTCAGTTCAGGTCTCTAAACTTTTGCTCCCTTGATTTAGGTCAGTTTTATACATAAGAAGCTTGGGATAGACTGAAATGGAGGCAGCCTCAAGCACAGAGTTATTAGAGATCCACGGGGCTTTCCCCCTAAACAGTGGCTTTCGTGGACTCCGTTTTCTGGTTCCTTGGCCAGACTGGAGTTTCTCTCAGGCGTTTAACTGCCTGTGCCTCTGTGCTGCTCCACGACTGAGGCCCTCTCAGGGCAAAGCCATGTGAAATAGTTTTCTACGGCTGCATAACACACTTAGGGGCTTAAAAAAACAAATTTACCATCTCAGAGTTTCTGGGGGTCAGGAGTCCAGTCCTTTGCTTACCTGAGTCCTCTGCTTAAGGCACAGAATATTATAATCAAGATGTCAGCTGGGACTGTGGTCTCATCTGAGGCATAACTGATGAGGAATTGGCTTTTGTTAGCAGAATTTAGCTCCTGTGGCTGTGGGATGGAGATTTCAATTTCTTGCTAGCTGTTGGCTAGAGACTGCCCTCAGCTCCTAAGTCATTTCAGTCCTTGCCAAATGGGCCTCCCAACTTAGGCAGCCCGCCGCATGGCCGCTTGGTCTTCCAAAGGAGAGAGATTCTAGCAAGATAGCTGCTCCAGTTTTATGCACATAATCATGTACATCTCATCACCTTTGCCGGATTCTATTTGTTAGAAACAAGTTACAGTTCATGCCCACACCCAAGGGCAAGAACATCAGGAGGGAGAAGTTATGGGGCAGGTGAGGGGGTGGGTATAGGAAAAAACAAACAAAAGAAGTGGGGAGCTCACTTTTGTGAAGATCGCTTCTCTGAGTGTTGACTCCCCTCCACCATCTGCTTGCTTTGTTTACTTTGTAGAGTTTGGTAGATGTTTTATATGTTTTGTCCAAAATTTTTAGTTATAATCAGCAATGAAGGATGGGTTGTAGAGGGCTTAGACCATCATGGGACTGAAAGTTCCTCATTGGATTTAGCCATAAAAAAAATCACTTAAAGAGAAAATTTTATTGAATAATATGGGTAGAAACTCGATAAGAATGAAAGGGAGTGGAAGATGAGGAACTGGATACAGTAAGTGCAGACAGTATGATACTTTAAGGGGAAAACAGGATAAATGGAGAGGTAACTATTGGGGAATGTGGAGTCAAGAAATGGTTTTGTAATTTGCTTTTTTTAAAAAAAAATTACAGTATCCCATTTCATATTAGTATTCTGTAGAATTATCCAACATCATTTTAACTAGTTGACTAGTATTCCATTCTGTTTGTAAACCAGAATTTGCTTCACAATTTCCTACTGATTATATTTAATTATAGATGACACTACAGTGAATAGCCTTGTCTGTACATTATTTCAAACATCTCTTATTTTCTTAAGAACGAATTCTGCATGGTGGGTCAGAGAGTATGAATATTTTAAAAAGTATTTGCTACTGCTGTGAATTGTTCCTGTGAGTTAGAAGAATGATTTGCTGTAAGAAGCAGATAATTCCAATTCTCCCTAAATTAAGTTGCTTCAGTTTAAATGGGTGTTCTTAATATCAGTTACCCATTGCTTAAAAATTGAAGAAAAAAAGATTAATCGCTGATGCTGTGGCTAAAACGAAGGATGTAGATGAAGAGAAGGCAACTAGATACATCCAAGATTGATGTCTTTTTCATTGTTATGGAAAATCCGTGGGACCAGAGAGTTTAAAATGTAGGCAGAGGATTGGCTGAAGTTATTTACCATGAGTTCTTAGCTGGACAGGGGAGGAAGAGACGGCAACAGAGATGCTATTTAGGAGAAAGTAAAAGGTTTCTGCATCCCTCTCCATAATAGGCTCTGTATGCATTTAAAAGTTTATTTTGGGTCTCATACAGATATGTTTTACTGTGAAAAATTTAAAAAGCACACTAATCTTCTATGCCAGGAGAATGAAGAGGTCAAATATTTCATGTAGAGTATAACCTAATCTGCTATGTATTTTTTACCCGTTGCCTTGACTGCTGAAAATGGATTGATAAGCTTGACAAAAGATAGTTACAGCCGAGGTGTTACTGCGACCTTCAGTGATTTTGTGGGCAGATGTGCACCTATTACTTTGGTATTTATTTAATGTCTACTTGTTAAAGTGAGCTTATTTAACTTAGTTTAAACTGCATTGCTGTTTATCAAACTTAATGTCTTTACTGTAGAATTGAACTCTTTTCTTTAATTCTCTTTTGGATTATTTCACTTTTTGGTACACACACAGACTTGCAATATATTACCAATTCACTACCAACTTAGAGCATTTTAAATTGATCGTGGGAAAATTATTCACTTATTCAAGGAAGTTTACTTATTCAGGGAATAAGAAAATAGAGTCTAAATTACTTCTTCCCTTTATTTCTATTTATCCTTCTGTTTTCCACTTTTGGATTATTCATCTCTATTTTACTGAAAACTGGGTAAAGGTAACATCAGAAAATCAAGCCAGGGTTTGTTGAGAAAAGAGGATGAAATGAGATTCGAGTACCATCCACTTTTATTTATCTTCTACCCCCCAACCATGTCCATAGTTAGCAAGCCAACAGTGTACATAAATTATGGAATAGGATTGCTGAATCACTTTTGAGTGTGAAAGCATCTTCCTTTCAGGGAACTTTTCATTTTAAAAATCTGCTTTCCTAGTGGCTCTTTACCTTATAAATTTGGAAAACACATTGCTCAGAAAAATTTTACTTGAAACCTTAACTAGATTGATTGCTCACAAAATGCAACTTCTCAAAATGCTATCAGTAGATGTGAAAGGTAAATTAATAGTGAGACTATATTAACCAAATAATGTTAAACATCATTTCAGAAGGAATTTGCTTTATTGACTGCTTTTAACTCAATGTCATGTTAAAAAAAATTGTTCTTACCTGGCTACACTTGAGAGTGAAGAGACTATTCTTTGATTACATTTTTTAATTTTTATTTTTAAGGTGATTCGATCTGGACAAAAATTAAGGAAAAAGTCTACTGACACAGGCGAGAAACGTGGAGGCTGGTTCAGTGGATTTTGGGGTAAGAAGGAATCTAAGAAAAAAGATGAAGAACCTTTGATTCCTGAAAGTAAGTTCCAAGTCAGATAATTTATTGTATACTGATAAGGAAAAGATATATAAGTTATATTTTAGCCAGTTAATTGAATTTTATTTTATTATATTTTTGAAATAAAGACTCAGTATGGTAAACATGTAAGTAAATATATCAGGCTGGAACATTTCTGTGTTTATTTGACTGAAATAAAACTTTAAGTTTTTGAGAAAAATTATTTGTGTGAAATTTTAAAAGTTGGAATTCAGAAATCTCACATGTAGCATTCCTCATTGTTACTTTTTACATAGGTATTTATTAGAAGTTTCACTTAATTTGATAGTACTTAGGAAATTCTAAAATTTTCATATAATGCCTGAATTCCCTTAATGGTATCTTTTTGCCTTTTCTTGACCTAAACAAGTAAATACATGATGTTTGTTTTAACAAGTCAAAATAGTATATTAATGAATATATGTATATTCATGTATGACTGAAAAATTGTGCTCTACACCAGAAATTGACACAACATTATAAACTGACTATAAAAAAAAATAGTGTATTAGAGGAAATTACCTGGCGGCTTTCGCTTTAGCATTATGTCTGTTGATCTTAGGACACTTGTTAGTTTGGTTTGATTTTTTTGGTTATATCTGTAAAACTAAATCAATCAATTTCTTAACATATTGTCTTTTTGTAGCTATTGATGATCTTATGACTCCAGAGGAAAAAGATAAGCTCTTCACGGCCATCGGTTATAGCGAGAGCACCCATAACCTAACTTTACCCAAGCAGGTAATTAATTATTTAGGTGGTCTAAGAGTTATTATGTTTCATTTTTTTTGCTCCAGTGGTGACCACTAGCTTATTCTCTATATCTGTTGATGGGACACTTAAGTTGCTTCTGTGTCTTGGCTATCGTAAATAATGCTGCTGTGAACATTGAGGTGCACGTATCTTTTGAAACTAAGTTTTCATTTCCTTCAGAAAAATACCCAGAAGTGGAATTGCTGGATTATGTGGTAGTTCTATTTTTAGTTTTTTGAGGAATGTCCATACTGTTTTCCATAGTGGCTGCACCAATTTACAATCCCACCAACATTGTGCCTACGGTTCCCTTTTCTCCCCATCGTCTCCAGCATTGGTTATTTGTGGACTTTTTGATGATAGCCATTTTGATAGGTGTGAGGTGGTATCTCATTGTGGTTTTGATTTGCATTTCTCTGATGATTAGCCATGTTGAACTTTTTTCCCCTGTGTCTGTTGTCCATCTGTACAGCTTCTATGGGAAAATGTCTATTCAGGCCTTCTGCCCATTTTTTAATTTGTTTGTTTTTTGATATTGAGTTGAAGGAGCTGTTTATATGTTTTGGATATTAATCCCTTGTCAGTCATATCATTTGCAAGTATTTTCTCCCATATGGTAGGTTGTCTTTTCATTTTGTTGATGTTTACTTTGCTTTGCAAAAGTTTTTAAGTTTAATTAGATCATTCATTTATATTTGCTTGTATGTCTTTTTCCTCCTACTTGATCTCCTCCCTTATTGTGGTTTTCAATTGCATTTCTCTGCTGACTAGTGATATTGAGCATCTTTTAAAATTAAAATTAAATTATCTGTTTAAAAAATTCTCTAGTGCTTTACCGTTTTCAAAAGTTTCACGCACATGATTTCATATAATCCCATGTTACCCATTTTTTGTCCCCTTCCCCTAATTGCCCCTCCCCTCTTTCTTTTTCCCACTGGTAATCACTAGTTTGTTCTATTTGTGAATGTGCTTCATTTTTGTTTTATTCACTAGTTTGTTCTATTTTTTTGATTTCACATAGAAGTGATATCACAGCATTTGTCTATGACTTACTTCATTTAGCATAATGCCATTCAAGACCATCCGTGTTGTGGCAAATGGCCTGTAGCATTGTGCAAATAATTCTTTCCTTATTGATTCTGTCTGGATGATCTCTATTGTTGACAGCGGGGTACTGAAGTCCCCAACTAATACCATATTGCTGTCTATTTCTTTTGGTTCTGCTAGTATGTGACTTATATATATAGATGCTCCAATGGGTATTTATGTATTTACAGCTGTTACCTCTTCTTGATGGATTGTCCCCTTTATCATTATATGATGGCTTTGTCTCTTCTGATTATTTTTAACTTAAAGTCTATTTTTTCCTGATGTAAGTATAGCTACCCCTGTTTTTTGGTTAATATTTGATTAAGGTATCTTTTTCCATCTCTTCACTGTCAGTCTATGAGTGGCTTTAAAGCTAAAATTAGTCTCTTGCAGGCAGCATATCATTGGATCTTATTTAAAAATTCATTTTGATAGTCTTTGTCTTTTGATTGGAGAATTTAGTTCATTTGCATTTAAAGTAATTATTGATAAAGATGTACAGTTTACAATTTACAGTTTATTAACTGTTTTCTGACTGTTTTGTAGATTCTTTGCTTCCCCCCTTCCTGTGTGCTTGTAGTAGAGTTATCTCCCTGGATATCTGTCCTACCTCTAGTCTTGATCTACCAATTTTTGGGTCAGGATTTTTTTCTCAGTGTTTTATTAAGTGTCCAAAGCCATCAAGCAGATGTTCTTTGTATTTTGTCCAGTTTTGAGCCAGAGGATTGGTCTGAATTAATTTGCTTTAGTGAGAACTGTTGAATTTTATTTATGCCACAAAATAGTTGATCAAATTTCATTTTTGTTATCTTTGGAACTAAGAAAAATTAATTTTGAATCTTATTAATGCCTTATTTGAGCAAGCAATTTTGTATTGAACTGTCTCATGTTCTTTGTGGTGAACATACTGATGCAAAAACCTACTGTATTGTTTTTTACATCACTTAATAATTTAAAAATTTAAAAAGAAATAATTATTAAAGAAAGTAATAACTACTTAAGATTTAACAATTTTCATTCTTTCTTTCATTTAGTATGTTGCCTATATAGTGGCACTGAAGTTAGTAAGCACCTCTATTACAATAAGAGAAAACAAAAATATTCCAGAAATACTAAAAATCCAGATAATTGGCCTGGGCACACAAGTATCTCAGCGACCAGGAGCACAGGCACTTAAGTAAGTAAAAAACTCATTTTAATTTTTATTTCTAGTTATGACTTCAGGCCAAAAAACAAATACAGTTCTACTTAGCATTAAAAAACTTAGTAATAGTAGTTCTCTATTGTTTTTCCTTTCATGTGTGAGAAGATAGTCATTTTTATTTGTGTTTGTTTTGTTATGGACCCATATGAGGAGCTCATCATTTGTTCTCCCCTTCCTTCTTTCTTGTGCAAATGTTTATTGGATAGTGTTGAATTCCTAGATTCGATACTTCGAAGGCTATGCATAGGAACAGTAAGTTTCTGTTTGCAAGATGTTTATGCTGTAGTTGATAAGAGAGGGAGCATAGAAAGTTAATACAGGATCTATAATACGTTAGCGAGCTCATAATTAAGAAGGTACTGGAAAGTTAGAAACCTCCTGGTCAGTGCTGCACAAGCTCAGTTGTGGAAGAGAATAACTTGGGCTCGGAAAATTGGGGCGCAGGCTAGCTGAGTGGAAAGGACCAAGAGAAGCCGGGATGAGGAAGGAGCGTGTTCAGTGCGACATGAAAAGGGAGATGCGTTCCCTGATTTAGGTGTAGCTTGTATTTACGCAACAGTGATCAGAACTTCCGCGGTGTCCTGAAGTTGGCCAAAGTGGGTTTTTCACAAGGATGAGGGGAACAAAACAGTAAACTGAAACAGAAAGAAACCCCACAAATTTTGTGGGCAATTGAATGCCAAGCCAAGGAGTTTGGACTCCAACTCCGGGTAATGGGCATGGTCCTGGATCTCAGAGGAGTTTCTTTTAAAGGGAAATTTGTATTTTAAACCATTACATTCCAAAGGATCTTATTTATAATACTTCTTTTTTTCCTCATTGGGCTGTAGGGTGGAAGCAAAATTAGAACACTGGTATATAACAGGTCTGAGACAGCAGGACATTGTACCATCGCTCGTGGCTTCAATTGGTGATACTGCATCATCCTTGCTGAAAATTGATTTTGAAACCAATCCAGAGAATAGTGCTGCTGACCAGACCCTGGTTGTTCAGTCTCAGCCTGTGGAGGTCATCTACGATGCGGTACGTACAAGGGGGGGAGGGCATCCTCAGTAAGCACGTCTTACTCTTCTGACGTATGGTTTTCTTGTTTTCCGATTTTCATACTTAAGCTTTGTTTACTTAACATCTCAGTTTACTGCCACCCTTTTCTTATTTAAAGAGTAGTACATGTTTAGCAGTTAATTTTGGTTATGTCATATGTACCTTACCACAATTTAAAATTAAAAAAAAAATCAGAGAATACAGTAAGTTCTACCTCCCACCCGCACTGTGTATCTTCGTCTAAATTGTAAAGTGATAATGAGTCAGGGATCTCAGTAACAGAGTGGAACCAACCATCAAGTGATGCAGTTACGTAACAAACCACACCCATCCTGGTGAGCTCAGGATGAGTTAAGAGAGTCTGAATAAAGATGGAGCTACAGGGACAGAACGTGAGCCAGCATGTTTAGTAACACAGAAATGCCAGTGCTTTCTTCTCACGTGAGCAGTATTTAAAATTCTTTCAGTTGCTCCTAAAGCTCTTTAAACAGATTCTGAGCATTGAGGGGGAGGGGAGAGTAAGCAAAAATAAACTGCAGTAGGAAGTCAGTGTGTGATTATTTCCGAGTAGTTAGTTTAATAAGTGTAGACTTCTTTAATGGTATTTTACATTAAAAAAATTTAACATAAGCATAGGTAAGTGTACCTTAGAGTAGAAGAAAATCTATAGTATATGAAAAATCAAAATTAGCATAAGAGAAATCATAATTTACCATCCAAGCCATTTTTTAAGTGTACAGTTTAGTAGGGTTAAGTACATTCACACTGGTGTACGTTCAATCCCCAGAACTCATTGTTTCTTGCAAGATGTCTGATTTTTAAGTTCAAATTTTAGATGCAGCTAAGGGCAACACAGCTTTCTTATTTCCTCTCTAAACTTCAAAATGCAGGGGATCCAATTGTAGTATAGAGAGGTAGAGTTTCCCCTTCTAATCTGGAGGCTGAGACTAGGAGTAATGGCCCACTGCTACATCAACATGATACCACAGAACATTCTTAAGCTTACCTTAGCAATACGCACACATTTGTTGCCTTTCCGATAAGCTTAATTGTATTATTCCTTTTCTCAAGTTCTCTTTCACTTCAGAGGGCGACGTAGTAGGGTAGATTATCTTTGGAGGCACCTCCTCAGTTCAAAGCCAGAGTTGATTAGAATTAAACTGAAACTTTAAAATTTGTAGTATAGAAAGTACTGTATATAACTTGCTTGTATTTTAAATGGTTTTTCAGAAAACCATCAATGCGGTGGTTGAGTTCTTTCAGTCAAATAAGGGATTAGATCTTGAGCAGATAACATCAGCTACACTGATGAAGCTGGAAGAAATTAAAGAGAAGACAGCCACAGGTAAGAATCTGACTGCATAAGCATCATCTAAACTCTCAAAAAATTTTTTCTGTTCTAATGTAAATATTTGAAGTAGCAGGTTGCTTTTTGTTACACTAAAGAAATAATGAGTTTCTCTATTTCTGGTTAAAATACTAGCTGTGTTGGGTTTGCTGTACCGTGTGATATGGTTGTTTTTCATTGACCGTCTGCATTTTCACCTGATATGTTTCATTGAGAATCTAATCTGTGAAAAGGACTGATGTTCTTCCAAATTATGTTTCAAATGATATTCTTGATTCCCGTTGTTAATGGTATAATTACATATTTCAACTTGATCATCTAATTTTTCATTACTTCTTTTTCTTCTTTTAGGACTTACACATATAATAGAAACTCGAAAAGTCCTTGATTTAAGGATAAATCTGAAGCCTTCTTATCTAATAGTTCCACAGACAGGTTTCCACCATGAAAAGTCAGATCTTCTCATTTTAGATTTTGGTACATTTCGGGTAGGTATATGTGCATTTCTGTCTGCCTTTTTTAAATTCAGCTTGGTTGCTAGCTGTCTGATAGTTTGCTTTTTTTCCCTCAGAGTTTACTTAAACTAAACCTAGACTTATGTCTTCTTAGCATTTTGTCAAGCCTAGCTTAGATTATGTCGTTTGTATATATTTTATGGCTATTAAAAAAATAAAAACTAACATTTTCTGAAATGGTGGATGGTTTCACATTGAGGACTAGGTTATTGCTGGTTTTTTTCCATAATTGGAGGGAAGCACTCCTAGTTTTTAATCACTCCTGGGTTTCCACAGTCTAATTACATAATTTTCTTGGTTAATTTACATATCTTGACAATAGAAAATTATACACATATGAATATATGCTTATTAAATCACTGTCAGCAACTAAGTAGAATAAGAGAACTCCAAGAGTTTGGGTGTTGAACCTGCTAGAAATTCAGCTCTCTGAGAAAAAGTGAAGATTTCAAAAAGTGAAGTCCTAAATTGATCCTTGTTTCCTTTGGGAAGAGGGAAAAGGAAGTAGAGATTGGACCTGAATTCTAATGACCTAATTACTTTAGTGATATAGTGAGGAGAGGAAGGAACAAAACTCTTCTGTTTCATGGTGAAGAGTTTAGGATAGCTAGCCAGAGAGGTGAGGCGTAAGTGGTGAGAACTCCTGAGAGCCAGGAAGAGCTGCATGTTTAGACAGGTTATTTGAGACAGAGGGCTGTGTAACTCATCTCCTAATTATTGCGAACGTGCTGAGCATCTGTTACCCAAACATAATAGAGACGCGTGCTGAAATATTAGATTCCTAATAAAATATTTGTTAATATTTATCAGAAAATTAAGGAAAATGTGAATCAGTGTTTTAATTTAATTTAGGTTTTAAGGAAACACAACTAAAGTATGTTGATACATAGACTTCTTTGTTAAGTTTTTTTTTCTCCATTTTAGCTTAACAGTAAAGATCAAGGTTCACAGAAGACTAATAATTCATCTCTGGAAGAAATAATGGATAAGGCATATGACAAGTTTGATGTTGAAATAAAAAGTGTGCAACTACTCTTTGCAAGAGCAGGTAAACTGTTGCTCAGTTTTTGGGCTCTTGAAATTATGCTCAGTAGCTTTGGTAAATGTATGTGTATGTGTGCTTATATATCAACCCTGACAACATTTTGAACTACTTAACACTGTTGGTCACTTAAGAAAACCAAATAGGAAAAAAAGGACACTATGAACTAATCTATAAAACAGAAACAGACTTGCAGACATAGTAAACAATCTTATGGTTACTGGGGAAAGGAGGTGGGAAGGGATAAATTTGGGAGTTTGAGATTTACAAATGTTAGCCCCTGTATATAAAAACAGATTTTAAAAAATTTCTTCTG